TTGGGACTTGGTGACTGGTTCTAAGGGATTGAAGTGGGGAAATGAGTCAGAGATGACTCCAAGATAGCAACTGACAGAGCAACAACATCAAGTAAAGATGTTTTTTTCCCTTGTGCATGTTTGAAGGTACACTGGAAGTGACAGTGTAAAAGGTAGAACTTCAAGATAAAGCAAAGGCCACTTTGCTGTGCTTTTACCTTTTTGTAGAGAGTAAATGACATTATCTGCGAAAGAGTGGGTATGAGCTTTGAAATGGCCTTGTGGGTGAATAACCCAATGACTATAGACTTGACAAGTAGTGTCCAAGGCAAATAGAGATATGATAGTAATACAGGGTAGGTCAGGCCAAGGCTGGTTCTTGTTCCTCAAGCAGAGATATGCAGCCTGGAAGCCAGAGTGAAAAGGCTGATTGTGGTTTTGGGGCTGTCCTGCGGGGGGCGGTGTAGGGTCCTTGCCTGGATGATGCTGAGGGTCGAGAACCACAAGCCAGCAAGGGAGTGTAGAGTAGTAAGATGTTTTAAGTCCCTGACTTACCTATGATATTTGTGTAGATAGAAGAAATAAATGAGCAAATTAGAAAAGAGAAAGAGGAAGCTGAGGCTCGTATGCGACAAGCATCTAAGAATGCAGAGAAATCAACTGGCGGAGGTGGAAATGGCAGTAAACACTGGTCAGAAGATGATCTGCAATTACTAATTAAAGCTGTGAATCTCTTCCCTGCTGGAACAAATTCAAGGTACTGGTTCTAATGAAACTTCTCTTCAACACATACTGGAGCCTAAGGATAATGTAGACATCCAAATAGCAGCACATTACAGCAAACTTCCAGAGATGTGCTTGGATCTAGACACTAAGTTCTGTGCAAAGTGTGAAAAGCATTTTGAACCTGCTAGTCTTAGCAGCTTATACCCACACACATATGTATATCCATACATACAGCAGGATGCTTCATCAATTTCTCAGGAAATTAAGGATCATAAGACATAAACCTTGACTCTCATGTTGGCTTATTCCATTGTGGTTTATAGTAGGCACTAGGTTTTATGCTCCATAGTTTCTCTTTCAGTCTTAATCCTTCTTTGTTGCTTCCGACCTCAAACTGGAGCTCACTGCAGAGTCTGAGCTGAGAACTCAAAGAAACCCTAGAGATCCAGCCTCCCTTATTCTGTATATGAGGAAACTAAGGTTCTCTTTTCAGAATGATCTGTCTCCTTAAGTATGTGTCTAAATGGCAGTATACACAAATGTGTGCTTTTATTTCTGTTGATTTTTACACAGAATCAGTAAGGTTTTGTACAAACTTGAAACCAAGATTATACACAGTTGATTTAAACATATGAAAAGCAAAAAACATAGTCCAGGCAATAGTAATAATTAGACCGCCAATTTAGAGCTAATTCTTTAGATGTTATAGCTAACCCTTCTGCCTTAAAAATGTGGGATCATTCTGGGTTTTGTTTGGGGTTTTTCGTTATTTTTTTATCGGTTGCTCTAGATGGGAAGTTATTGCTAATTACATGAACATACATTCTTCTTCTGGAGTCAAGAGAACCGCCAAAGATGTTATTGGCAAAGCAAAGAGTCTTCAAAAACTTGGTGAGTTAGTTTTGCCAAATCAATTTTTTTGCTACCTTGAATACATATTTTAAAAATAATCTACGCAATTTAATGAAAGACTAAATGAAATGATCTGTATTAAAGTTTTTTCCCCTTTTCAGACCCTCATCAAAAAGATGACATAAACAAAAAGGCTTTTGATAAGTTTAAAAAAGAACATGGTGTGGTGTGTCAAGCAGACAATGCAACACCTTCAGAACGATTTGAAGGTAATGAAATTTTATTTTTCTATGAGTAGAAAATGCTAACCATGTATCTGTGTGAGAGTATACAAGATCTATGGTCTACATTCAGAATGAATGGAATAGAAAGCATTTAGCAGACTGAAAGGTATAAAGCAGATGTTTTCAGGACAGATTTACTTCAGCACCATTGAGAATTACAGTTCTTCCATTTCATATGCCATGAGGGGAGGGGTTGTGTTTGTTTTGTTCACCAGATTTTACAAATCAGTATTAAAGGATATTGGGACAATTGAAATTTGAATAAGGTCTGTAGACTAGATAATTTTTTATCAAGGTTGATTTCCTGGTTTTGAAAAATACACCATATATAAGGAAAGGTCCTTGTTTTTAAGGGAAGACAGCAGTAAAGGGGCAGCATGCCTGCAACTTGCGTGGCTCAGAACAAGTTAGTTATACAGACACAATTTGTTGTGCTGACATGTCTTGGGTGTTCTAGTTAATTTGATTACTCTGGACCAGTATGTTTCAAATGCAAATTATGACTCAGAAGTGGGTCATGAAATCAGTTTAATGGGTCATGAATAGAAAATATCAGAGAGCATTACACCTATTACGCAAGTGGGTATTTGTGAAACTTTTGTTCATGTGTATAAGTGTCTGGGATGTGACATTTTTTTCCTTACTATGAGTTGCTGACAAAACTTTGAAAATTTCTCTTTCACTACCTGCATTTGTGAGCCACCAGTCCTTTTCTCCCTAAACTAAGCTAATCTTGGATATGCTTTCCAGATCACGGTGCCAAATGTATGTTTTGGGATTAACTGACAGCCTTGACTCCTCATGATGACCTGTCCCTGTCTTAACAGTCCCACTTTTCCTGTATTCTTGGTCTGGTTCATTATCCCAAAATTTCAATTTGAAAATATTAGGAGACTTACAATGTACTATAAAGAGGAAAAAATCATTCCGCGTTTGCAAGTTGCATTTGCAAAATCGGGTGACTTTTGTCTAGGCTGGGCATTATTTTGGCTCTTTTCAGAAAGATAAGTAACAAAGTGGAAATTTCAGAACACCTAAAGGAGGTAATTCTCTTGCCCCTTACGCCATCCACAAAAATCAGACACGTTCAGATAGTACTGCGTTGTTCTCAGCCCTTTCTTGTGGGACTAGTTTCTGTGCTGGAGGCAGACACTGATGGTTGTGCTTTCTGGCAGATGGGTGACCCTGTGAGGGCAGGAGTGATGTGGTACTTGGGCCTGACTCCTTTACCTCTTTTTATGGATTTAATGGGCAGGTCCCTCTCTCTTCAACTGCTCCAGTAAACAGCAAGCTGGCCACATTTTTTTGGAATAGTGATTTCTCATAGGAATTTTACATGTTTCATTCATTTTGGTATTGGGACGTCCCTGGATCATAACAGCAAATAAGCAGCAGATAATAATTATATGTCAGTTCCATCTTTTTTCCAAGAGAGAGGAAATGAATTAAATCTATGGTGTTAAATGGGGCTTCAAACTAATAAAAGGAAATTCCACTAAGGGGTTCCTGGAATTTAAAAGCTGATTTCAAAAAAAGCTTTAGTCTTTAATCTGTCTTCAAATACAAGTTCTCTGCCTTGTTCTAAGGTGTGTTGTTTTTCAACTTGTTCACTGTGTCTGTGAGTATATTTTTAATTGGGAAATAACTTAGATTTCTAGGCTTTACTTTGTACCTGATCTCACAGGATACAATTTCAAGAGGTAGTCTCTCACTGCTGGTAGGATAGGTGCCACTGTGTTTTCACTGCATGATCTGAAATAACTAAGCTGTCAGTAATCAATCCATTAACTTAGAATAACCAAATCATTTTAACCATTTTCACATTTTCATTTTCCTACAGAAGTGGGATGTGTACTTCTTGCATCTTAGGAAGGAATATTATTTGTTTCTGATACATGTATGAGGTGTTCTATCAAACATAAAGGTCTGGTTTAGTAGAGATGCACAGCATAGGCTCCACAAGATTTTAGTGGATGTGGTGACAGTGACACACTGGAAATGGAATCTAATCTCACCTTGGCTCTACAGCATTGAAACCATGGGAGCTTGCTTAGCTTTGTTAAACTTGTTTCTTCCAGTGTAAAATGAGAATGTTTCCAGGCTCTCATCGAGCTAAAAGTTTTTAAGTAGGAGGCAGCTCTTTTCCCTATGCTATAAGGAACTAGATTTATCAGAAATCTTAAATGACTTGTGATTGTGGTTTCGAACCCAGCAGTCCAACTGTGTATGTTAAATCTGACTTTTTTTTAAAAAGTCTGGTGAATATTAGATTGTGATAGACCAGAAATACAAAGCATATTGTGCTTTAAAGTCTCATATTTTTCTGGGAGCTATCTAAAGTTTTTTCCCTAATTAATACCTAGAGGTATATATGTGCGTCTAATTTGGTCTGTTCAAGATTGCACATCACAAATTCAGATGGGCACTTACCAAGATGTGTACCAAAAGACTCATCTGGGAAGGTGTTCCAGGACAGTTTTCTATCAATTAGGATAAAATTTTCCAAACAAAATTTTTTCTTAAACAGGTCCATGCACAGATTTCACCCCTTGGACAACAGAAGAACAGAAGCTTTTGGAACAAGCTTTGAAAACGTACCCAGTAAATACACCTGAAAGATGGGAAAAAATAGCAGAAGCAGTGCCTGGCAGGACAAAGAAGGACTGCATGAAACGATATAAGGTTGTAGATCTTTAGTGTATAGATTCCATAATCAATCCTTTAAATTATGTTTTTGTGCTTATTCAATACCACAGTAGTCGTGGGGCCAATATTAGAAATAACCAACCTTAGAAACTTTCTAGCTCTGGCAGTTACTTAAAAAAAAAAATCAACCTTTTCAGTATAGATTTACCCCAGTTTGGATGTTTTACATACTTATACCAAACACTAGAAATGTCTGCAAATTCTGACAACTTCTTGGTGTAAGTAACATCTTTTTCCCTTCCTAGGAACTTGTCGAAATGGTAAAAGCAAAGAAAGCTGCTCAAGAGCAAGTGCTGAATGCAAGTAGAGGCAAGAAATGACTTATGACAATCTTTGTTGTGTGTGCATTTTTATAATAAAACTGAAAATACTGTACAAAATTTTATTCTTAGAACTATACTTAAAGTGTGTTGTTCCAGTATAATTTCTCAGAGCTCAGAGATCTACCATTCATTGTGGTGGTCTTATTCTTTCAAAGTCTGAGATAGTATTTCATTCATATTTACCAGTATAGATGTTCATTTTTTTTTCTTTAGGACTTGCAGGTCTCGGTTTTATAAATATGTATGTTCAAAATATGTTTATTAGGAGCATTTTAATCATGAAGCCAGCACATGTTACTGCAAATCTGGTTAAAATCTGGCAGCTGCTCAATGGGACCTAAGGATTAAAAGAAAGGACAGTTACAACTAAAGAGAAGGAAAGTCCTTAGCCAACTTTCTGCATAGGAGAAAAGGAGCCAGGCTTACTTACCAACAGCAGCAACAGCTGGACTCTTATCATAAATATATTTGGTACACACTTCTCGAATTATCTCAGCATTTACAGCCTGAAAAATTGGAAGACACAAGCATTCAGAGCTTTTTGTAGTAGTGAAGACATTCTATACCTGGGACATTTTAGAGCTAAAGCAAGATTTATGATGCGTATCTCCAGGTGTTGTAACAAGCATCATTTTACACAAGACCCAATAGTATCTAAGGACTACTTACATCAATTCTTGCTTCAAGCTCAGGGATGGGAATTCTTCGATTATAGCACAACATTTGCCTACCAATATCTTCACAGATGGGAGTGGAACCTGTTTTAAAGAAAAGGGCAAACTAAGTACTGGAATGTAAGTCAACCATGTGAAAATAGGACTTATGTCTTTAATTCTTTTACCATCAAGTTGCAGCAACATGTTTGTTTTCAGAAGATTCTTGGCTCGTGCAACTTCACTTTCAGTGACACTTGTACAGAGTCGCATCCTAAAAACCATTTGGAAAAATCAAATGTCAAAGTAGTTTGAGAATGTTACACGTTTCATGAGTTAATGACCTAAAGAAAGGATGCTATATTCTATGTATTACACCACAATGTACAAGTGATTATGATTTCAATTTAGTAAAAAATTGAAATTATTAATGATCCCAACAGTTAAGCAAAAGTTAAAATATTACTGATTATTTTCCTGGTAGTGTTAATTTCTCAAAAATGATATGGTTAGCAGAGATTCAATACAATATAAAAATAGGCTGACCGCATTTTGAGAAATGCTACAGTCATTTTGAAAATTCATGAATCCCCATCTGATAGGATCTGACTTGTTAGAGGATAGATAGGTCAGGGTCATTGGTTTCTCAAAAGAATCCAGTTGAGTCTAACTTAAACCTAGTAATTAATTAATGATTACACTCCAACTAGACTTAGAGAGATGTAAGCCATGTAAGAATGGTGGAGGAAAGGGACCAGAGCTAAATAAAAGTTTTCCAAGAAGCTTTGGGCCCTTCTGCCTGTCTCAAGGTACTAGTTTTGACTAAAACACTACATTTTTCTTGTAGCAATGGCAACTTCAGGTTCATTTTCATAACACAGCCTTTCCAAGCCAGATAACTTTTAGAAATATTTTCTAGAATTCTAGTTGGCATTTAAACGTTTTTAACTTTTAAGATCTTCCTTCTGAAGTAATCTGCTTCTTAATGATTAAGAATTTTCTATAGTATAAATCAGCTTCACATGCAACTTAGAAGAAACATCTGTGATCTTTAAAAACACGGCAGTAACTGCTACTACTTAAGTCTTGTTCTCTTAATAAAATGCTAATAACATCACCATAAAAAATTAATCAGCATCAACAGTGTAAAAAGAAACTAAAGTGGTAATTCTAAGCATGATTTAAATTTTTTCTCACCATTCTTTCTGAACAACATGTAGCATGTCTGCAACAGTGGCTGGTTCACAAACCATATAGATTCCCCATAATCCTGTATCTGTGTAGGAAGTGTTGAAAGACTGGAAGCTATGGCAGAGGTTGCCATGACAGGTGAGCTGGGCCAGCTTGCTAGATAAATTCTGTAAGGGAAAAAAACTGTCCAAGAGAACTGTAGGTATACGTGTCCAAATTACCAGAAAGAAAAATGAGATGTGAAAATCGTGAGTCGCCTTAAAAGGCTGAGTTTCTCAGTTTTATCCAGCAGTATCTCAATAATAAAGCTAAAATTCACTGAAACTAAGAATTACAGTAATCTCACCAGCCCAATGCATCATCCCCAGAGAAACTCATAATGTTAAAGCAGTGAATCCTTGTAATTAATTTAGTAGCTGCACCCACTTCTAAAATAATACATATTGATGGACCTAGAGATTATCATACTAAGTGAAGTCAGTTGTATCACTTACATGTGGAATCTAAAAAAAAAAAAGATACAAATGAACTTATTTACAAAACAGAAACAGACTCACAGACTCTGAAAACAAACTCATGGTTACCAAAGGGGAAACGTGGTTGGGGGACGGATAAATTAGGAGTTTGGGATTAACATATACACACTACTGTGTATAAAGTAATCAACAAGGAATCTACTGTATAGAACAGGGAACTCAATATTCTGTAACAACCTAAATGGGAAAAGAATTTGAAAAAGAATGGATATATATGTGTATATGTAACTGAATCACTTAGCTGTACACATGAAACTAACACAACATTGTAGATCAACTATACTCCAATATAAAATAAAAATTAAAATTAAAAAAAGGGAAAAATCCAATCAGGCCAAAGCTGTCCCTAAAGTTAAAAATGGGTTGACCTCACAGGTTGTAGTTCAGGTATGTTTACAGGGTCCCTTGGTCAATCCAGCCCAGCACTCCACTTCTAGCAGTGATTGATGTGAGATATGGTTATGACATCTAATTCTGTGTTCCAGCTTTGTTTAATAATCATTTATAACCATATCAACCAAAAAATTGAATAACCCATGCCAATATGCTTTGCCAACAACAACAAAAATTTAAAATAAAAATAATTAGCTATTATCAACCCAATTTGTAGAGCTTTGGGCTGTTTGCTTAAAAACTTGAAATTATATTGCATGTGAAGCCTAAGATACTTATATGAAATGTATTTTCTCAAAATCTTTGAGTATAAATATATACACTTTGTATTTTGAAGTAATTTCAGACTAGTAACAGACTAGTAACATAAATAGTACAAAGAATTTCCTTTATCCAAATTCCTTAACACCTGTTACTTTACCATTTTTTTTTTGCTTTATCATTCTCTTTAACATATTTTTCAATTGTTTGAGAGTACAGTGCAGATATCCTTTTTACCCCTGAATACTTTTTAATGTGCACTTCTGAAAAACAAGGAAATTTACCTCAGTACAATTATTAAAATTAGGATATTAACACTGATATATTACTATTAACAAATCCTTCTATCCTTATTCAAAATTTGCCAATATGGCAAAAGAAAAAAGTTGTTTTTTTCTGGCCCAGGATGCAATCCAGGATCGGTTTATATTTTAAGTCAAAATTCACAGTACAAAGTTTCATCTTCTCAATTATTATGGAAATTTACTTTTAAAATCACTTACCATTCCTCCTCCAAAAGAGCGATCCCAGTTGCCAATCAGTGTGTTTGCAACCATGAGACAGATTGTATCTGGATGTGCCCAACCAACAGCTTCAACAGCTATTGCAAGATGTGCCAAAGGCATCTTGTCATCCCTCACTCGAATCTAGTTAGGATAAACGATACAAAGCTCTAGTTAAGATTACCACTATATAACATGCTTAACAAGAAACAAACTCACCAGCTCCATTAACTGCAAAGTTAAAATGCTCACCATAACACTCCTTTGTTTTTTAAACAATTAGGCCTCATTACACTGTAGTCTAGTCTAGAAGAATTTCACCAAAAGATCTCCAATTGAAATAGTCCAGACACAGCCACCAGATAATTACCTGGTCAAAAAGCGATGCATTATTTCAGTGGTAGAAATAATCTTTTGTCAGTCTGAATTTTTCTGACTCTCTAAATTTAAGCTAATCTTGACATAACAGGCTTATTTTTGTACTGCCAATGCTACAGTCTTATGTAGTTGACAACATCAGGCTTCTTTCCAGATACAACTATATGAGCATCATCCCTAATGTGGCAAACTAAGCTTCTTTTTTTTTTTTTGAAGATTGTACTTTTATTTTTTATTTTATTTTTTTTTAACATCTTTATTGGTGTATAATTGCTTTACAGTGGTGTGTTAGTTTCTGCTTTATAACAGAGTGAATCAGTTATACATATACATATGTTCCCATTGGGGTATAATTGCTTTACAATGGTGTGTTAGTTTCTGCTTTATAACAGAGTGAGTCAGTTATACATATATATATGTTCCCATATCTCTTCCCTCTTTGTCTCCCTCCCTCCCACCCTCCCTATCCCACCCCTCCAGACAGCCACAAAGAACCGAGCCGGTTTCCCTGTGCCATGCGGCTGCTTCCCACTGGCTATCTACCTTACGTTTGTTAGTATATATATGTCCATGTCTCTCTCTCGCCCTAACACACCTCACCCTTCCCCCTCCCCATATCCTCAAGTCTGTTCTCCAGTAGGTCTCTGTCTTTATTCCTGTTTTACCCCTAGGTTCTTCATAACATTTTTTTTTCTTAAATTCCATATATATGTGTTAGCAGACGGTATTTGTCCTTCTCATTCTGACTTACTTCACTCTGTATGACAGACTCTAGATCTATCCACCTCATTACAAATAGCTCAATTTCGTTTCTTTTTATGGCTGAGTAATATTCCATTGTATATATGTGCCACATCTTCTTTATCCATTCATCCGACGACGGGCACTTAGGTTGTTTCCATCTCCGGGCTATTGTAAATAGAGCTGCAATGAACATTTTGGTACATGACTCTTCCTGAATTCTGGTTTCCTCAGGGTTATACCTAGTAGTGGGATTGCTGGGTCATATGGTAGTTCTGATTTGTAGTTTTTTAAGGAACCTCCATACTGTTCTCCATAGTGGCTGAACCAATTCACATTCCCACCAGCAGTGCAAGAGTGTTCCCTTTTCTCCACACCCTCTCCAGCATTTATTGTTTCTAGATTTTTTGATGATGGCCATTCTGACTGGTGTGAGATGATATCTCATTGTAGTTTTGATTTGCATTTCTCTAATGATTAATGATGTTGAGCATTCTTTCATGTGTTTGTTGGCAGTCTGTATATCTTCTTTGGAGAAATGTCTATTTAGGTCTTCTGCCCATTTTTGGATTGGGTTGTTTATTTTTTTGTTATTGAGCTGCATGAGCTGCCTGTAAATTTTAGAGATTAATCCTTTGTCAGTTGATTCATTTGCAAATATTTTCTCCCATTCTGAGGGCTGTCTTTTGGTCTTGTTTATGGTTTCCTTTGCTGTGCAAAAGCTTTGAAGTTTCATTAGGTCCCATTTGTTTATTTTTGTTTTTATCTCCATTACTCTAGGAGATGGGTCAAGAAGGATCTTGCTGTGATTTATGTCATAGAGTGTTCTGCCTATGTTTTCCTCTAAGAGTTTGATAGTTTCTGGCCTTACATTTAGGTCTTTAATCCATTTTGAGCTTATTTTTGTGTATGGTGTTAGGGAGTGATCTAATCTCATACTTTTACATGTACCTGTCCAATTTTCCCAGCACCACTTATTGAAGAGGCTGTCCTTTCTCCACTGTATATTCCTGCCACCTTTATCAAAGATAAGGTGACCATATGTGCATGGGTTTATCTCTGGGCTTTCTATCCTATTCCATTGATCTATCTTTCTGTTTTTGTGCCAGTACCATACTGTCTTGATTACTGTAGCTTTGTAGTATAGTCTGAAGTCAGGCAGCCTGATTCCTCCAGCTCCATTTTTTGTTCTCAAGATTGCTTTGGCTATTCGGGGTCTTTTGTGTTTCCATACAAATTGTGAAATTTTTTGTTCTAGTTCTGTGAAAAATGCCAGTGGTAGTTTGATAGGGATTGCATTGAATCTATAGATTGCTTTGGGTAGTAGAGTCATTTTCACAATGTTGATTCTTCCAATCCAAGAACATGGTATATCTCTCCATCTGTTTGTATCATCTTTAATTTCTTTCATCAGTGTCTTATAATTTTCTGCATACAGGTCTTTTGTCTCCTTAGGTAGGTTTATTCCTAGATATTTTATTCTTTTTGTTGCAATGGTAAATGGGAGTGTTTTCTTGATTTCACTTTCAGATTTTTCATCATTAGTATATAGGAATGCCAGAGATTTCTGTGCATTAATTTTGTATCCTGCTACTTTACCAAATTCATTGATTAGCTCTAGTAGTTTTCTGGTAGCATCTTTAGGATTCTCTATATATAGTATCATGTCATCTGCAAACAGTGACAGCTTTACTTCTTCTTTTCCGATTTGGATTCCTTTTATTTCCTTTTCTTCTCTGATTGCTGTGGCTAAAACTTCCAAAACTATGTTGAATAAGAGTGGTGAGAGTGGGCAACCTTGTCTTGTTCCTGACCTTAGTGGAAATGCTTTCAGTTTTTCGCCATTGAGGATGATGTTGGCTGTGGGCTTGTCATATACGGCCTTTATTATATTGAGGAAAGTTCCCTGAGCATCATCCCTAATGTGGCAAACTAAGCTTCTAACGAGGCTTAAAGATACGGCTGACACGAAGCAGGTTCTCTACAAGTTCTGGCTTTAACAGCTACCCCCCAGAAATGTACTGTGGGCAGAACTTAGCCAAGAATAAACCTGATTAAAAGTCAAAATTTGGGGTGTTTTTAAAATAAAAGATTACTTTTATGCCCTACAGTAGGAAAATGGGCATAGTATCAAAGAAAAAGCACAAAAAGACGAAATTATATTTTCCTTAAAACCTTACTTCCTTAGGAAAGAAAAATAGGTGGTTAAATAGATGGAACAGGAAAGAATATAAACAACTGAGTCCATCCTCAGCTGGACTCCTTTGGCTTCTTCCATTTTACTGTTAGAAACAGGTACATTTGCTACACACATTCATAAATACAACACAAAACACTAGCTTAGGAGGCTTGCCCTACCTCACTTCCTGTGAATTTGCAGGGAGGCAGAGCTGGTATTTCTCCTTTGTGTGTGGACAAAGAGTCACCAAAATGAAACTTTGCTAACTCAAGCAGTTCATCATGGGAAACCCCTAAATTGAAGGAAAATATGTTATATATCCAGTAGTAGTGCAATGTAAAGCACACAACGAACTGCCAATACTTCTGTTTACAATAAGCTCAAGGTGGTATAATGTGATACAGGTTACACACGGACTGCTTGCTCTGACTAAAAGCCTTTTTAAGAGTAAGCTCACAGAGCACACTC